ATTAGAGGAATTACCCCTTTCTTTCATAATTATAGTAGAGAAAAAATATTTAGAAACTTAGCAAGTAGAATCAGAGAGCTGTTTGAAATCACAAATGTGCAAAAGTATCACAGGTCTGCGCTTATCATCCTAATGGCAGAAAACTCACACCAAAGTTGGTACCCACTAACTTCTACCTCATTAAGGCAAGCTGCCGGTCATTGGATATTATGTTCTAACAGGACTTCCCATTATGTAGAATAATGTATTTCCTTCCAAGGCAAGTTTTTCTTTTGTTGTTATTTTCTAATAAAGTAATATACTCCACATTTATAGAAAATTTTGCATTTATCTTTGATTTTATCTTTTCTAAATATTCTTTTTCTTTATTCCACTTTTACAAAGAAATTTGCAAGTGTAAAGATACAGCAGGCAAAAAAAATTATATCTCTTTTAAGATATTTTAGTGTTTAAATGAAATGGATAGTCCTTGTGCAATTTATCAGGCATTTCAGAATGAACTCAACTATATAATTAATTCCCAGGCCTACAAAATGGAAGCTTTGTTATTTGCCTGTGTTTCTCACTTGAAATAAGAGTGAATATATAACTGGAACTCAAGGTAATAAACTTATTAAAACTTAGTAAGATATTGTTATGGTCAAAGAAAACCCGCAAGTACGTGCCACAAATCCACTCAGAAGAAACATCTCATTCACTAAAATTTTCTATCTTATTATAATAGTGCACAGAAAATTAAACACATAAATATTAATTTTATGTATCACAGATGATGTAGGCAATGAAAATGCAATGTTTACATTTATGGATGACTCATTAGTGTTTTATTGTGTGAAACACTAGGAGGCATCAGTTGGGTGAAAAAGGACTTCAATTTTAGAAGAAGCAAGAAATTACTGTAAAGTTGGGTGTGTAAGAAGTTAAGATTTTTTAAATGTTATTATGTAAACCAAAACTTTATTCTCTGAAATAAACCCTCAAAACATCATATTCTGTTGTAAAGAATGACCTTTATATAACATTCATGATATATATATATATATATATATATATAATTTGACCAATGAACTTTTACGAAGATATATTTCAGATGTATGGATTCATAACTGTGTAATTACACATTTTTATGTAGAATATATTTGGCAACAGAATAGCATAATGGACATTGACTATTATGAATTTTCTGCTGAATTACTCAATAACATGAGTGTATGTTTTATTTCTGGCAAATTCTGTTTTGTGCTATTTATAATGCCTCTGAAAATGTCTAATGCATTTAAGTCTTACAATACCTGCTTCGTGTAAGCAGACAATTTGATGTTTGTTCATAAAGAAATGATGGAACTTAAAATTTACACAATGAGGACATAGATAAAAAAGGACATGTTTTCTCTTACTTCACTACTGAAAGCCTGTCATTTGAAAACTGAATTTTCCATTGTTTGAATGGTTCATAATGATGAAGCAACAGGGTCAAAGTATACTTATCTAGCAATCATTTGAAATTGAGTGTCTTGCCATTCCTCAACAATCAGCTTTTATCTTTGACCTATCAAAATAACATGTGAACTATGTAATCTGCCTTTTGTAAGGTGCATAGACTCTGTTGTTGTTCCTGGTTTTGTGAATCACCTCTGTAATCTGGTTTGATTTCCTAAAGGTGACAGATCTCGGTGAACAGTCAAGCTTTACTGAGTGCAAGATAGTCCACGCGCCTATGAGATTAAGGTACAGTGCTAAGGACGGGGATCTTAATTACCTATCTTTCCACATGCAGCATACTGATGAAACATCAGTGATTAAATCACTTCATCGTGTCCAGGCAATCACCACATTAGTATAGAATGAATATGTGTATTTTGATAAGTTTTAGATATTAATTTGTGTGGCATTTTCTCAGAGGATGAGCTTTTGAAAAAGAAGTGTAACTTTATTAATAATCTCTTTACAGTCCATCTTGTGACCATGAATTACATATTAAATTCTTCTACGTTGCTTCGAATCATGTCCCCAAAGCCAGAATTCTCTGTTTAATAATTATGTCTTTGTTGTTATGTAGCACAAGTATTGCTGCACAGCTATTTCCCCATTTTTGTCACTTTCTGAGATTTCATAGACTCAAATTATACCACACTTTAGAGTTGAGAAATAAAACCACAAAATATACTTCAATAAACAGAAGAAAGTTTTAAAAGATAATGTTAAGATATGCTAAGGAGTTATTCAGTGCTGTTCTTTATACAAGAAGTTTAAATACAATAAATTATTTATTAGAAAGATACATTTGCAGTGTTATGCAATTTATTGATTCCGTTAAGTTAGGGCCAAGGAAAAAATTTCAGGTATTATTTCCCCCAAATTTTGCAAAATGAACATGTTTACAAAGAAGAAAAGATGCAAGTTGCCTCTTGTTATCTAAGTTTCATGGAGTTATCTAGTATTAAAGGGCTTCTATCTTGAAAAGTTAATATCGGTGATTGCACACTTTTAAAATATGAATAGCTCAGAAAAGGTGGAAAACTGTTTTTATTATAAATTGCTCATTCGTTATTGAAATAAAAAACAAATTAACATTTAATAAAACTGACACTTTAATATTATCTTTCAATATATTCCACATGCACAGCAATCAGGATGTAAATGGTATAATTAATGAGTGAAGTAAAATGCTGCCTTTCCTAAGCCTGAAAAAAAGTCAAACATTCCAATGTTGTGTGAATTATATTAATAAAAATAGTAGATTTTTATAAAATTTAGTAAAACTTGAAGTACAGATAACAGCCACCTACTGCCTGTTTGACGGGAGAATCAAATTTTAAGCAAATGTTATGTTTAAAGACTGTTTTAATGAAAACTTTTAGAATTGAGTTAGTAGCCGAATACACAGCTAAATGTACTTTTCTATAGATTGAATGAGATATTTAAAATATTTCTTTCCTCTTGAAATTGGATGTTAGATAGGGACATCTCATTTTACCTATCAAGTTCTGAGTCTTGCTTTAGAACTACTTCTTTTAACTTAAATAATTTCATGCATACACTGGTAGACAATAATATGGCTTTTAACAGCATTATCTTTAATTGAAACTGATCAAGAAACAAAAATACTGCTTATACCATATTGGTACATACTGAATGTTTTTAAAGACTAGCCAAAACTGACATTATTTTTTTAAATTAAATAAGATGTTTTAGTTTCAAATTAGAGATTGTTGATCTATTTAAAGCTAAAATTGGTATGCAATACGAGGTTAAACGGGGTTCACAGGTGGTCACATTTCCATGTCCTACCAAGTCTCTAGGGACTGGAGTTATTATACTCCACATAAACATCTTTACTCTGCAACCACAATTCCATTGCAAGGTGCCAGTGAAAGTAGGCTGGTCACTTTTTTTTTTGGACTGGTATAATGAGGTGGCTGGAGTTTCCTTTATAGCACTTAGAAATTATATGCAGTCCCCAAGCATTTCATAAGACAGTTACTATTAGAGTTAGTTTCAGATTCACAATAGTAAAACGCACTTTGTGTCAAAGCAATTCTCCACTGAGGACCGGTTAAGGAACTGGCAGAGAGCCCAATTCGACTTATTATACTGTCAGCATTTACATATAAAGTATTTTATACAAAAGACACGCATTCCTAAAATGTGACAAAAAAAGGCTTTCCCCAAAGAATGATAACTACTGGACTTAGAATAGTCAGAAGTGATTCAGACATAAAATTTCCTTTAAAAATCAATAGCCATGTTCAGGGAAGGAAGATAACATTAGCATTAAATGTAAATACTTCTATAACATTTAATAATACAATAAACAACGTGTCACATCTATATATACTTCCTTTGTGCCAAACTTTATCATTGAGTTTGGTAACTTTCATTCCAAGTCTAAAGAGAAGGCAATTTAAGTGACTTAATCTTGCTTGCTTTTAAACGGCTATATATTTGACTTGACCTGAACAGCAAACTATATGCTGAAATCGAACGTGAATTGTGAAATGTGTAGACTATCATGGCAGGGATATTACCTTTTGTCCACAACAATTAAGAATCCTTCTGTCAAGCCAGCACTTTGGTGAGGGAAGGAAATGCACAAAGGTATACTCTGACAGACAGCCATGCTTTAGCTCCAACTAATCCCAAGAATTAGTGGCTCAGAAGCATAACCCAGGGCAAATCAGTGTCTTTGGGGGACTCATGGGAGCATCTTTCCACAGTGAACTAACTGCTAAATCTTAAGGCATCTACTTCAAGGTCACAGAACATGCTGTGAAACATTAAAATCCACCAGGCTCCACACGCTCCACCATATCAAACATGCTAATGACGTGAACTAACTTCATGAAACTTTAAATACACTGGTGTGACAGGAACGAGTCAGGAGTGATTTCAATAGCTGATGGCAAACGGATACGACTATCTAAAAAGTTACTTTTAGCAACAAACAAGGAAATCATGGAATCTAACGAAAAGAATGCACAACGAACCTCAACTTCAGCCTTCAAAAAAGGCACAGGGATAGAAAGACACAGTGCCGTGGAATACATTGATGCAGATTTTAGAGACAATACCCGGGTTTTCTATTTCCTCGAGAAATGTCAGGGGTACTTACATGAAGGAAGACCCGATCAGATTAGTCCTTGAGATATTTTCCTTTCTTAAGAGAGAGAGAGAGAGAGAGAAAAAAAAAAAAAATAACAACAATAATCTTTACTTCGTCCAGCGTTGAAGTGCTTCTCCACCTGATTCAAACATGCAGCCACGGCGACCCACACAGAACCTTCAAAGTCAATCCAATAGCAGCCCGAAGATGTCTGGGTGTACGCGTGTGCTCAAGTGTCTGTGACTGCGAGCAGAGCGAGCAGAGAGCTGGAGACGATGTGTGCGTGTGTGCGTGTGTGCGCGCGCGAGGGGAGCGCGCGCGAGGGGGGGGGCGCGGGGCCGCGCATTCGCGCCCGCCGAGGCCGCTCCGAAGAGGAGGAGGAGGAGGAAGAACGAGGAGGAAGAGGAGGAGGAGGAGGAGGAGGAGAAAGTGGCTCTCAGCGGCCGGTCGGATTAAAAGTAACCAGACTCGTCCAGAAAACTGCGTCCAGGAAGGAAGTGACAGAAGACGAATGGGAAAAGGAGAACAGCTCACAGCGTTTGAAACATCGCGTAAAAAAGACTGGGGGTGGTGGGGGCGGGGGGATGGAAGGATACTGGGAGGGGAGACGGGGGTGGCAGGGAAGACTGAGCACGAAGGGTTGGGGTTCTAAGCAGCACGTCCGATGAAGTGTCTTTTGCCTCTTTTTTTCCCCCCTTTATTTAATTTTGTCCTTGCCTTTGCTTCGCGCTGCCTTTTTCTCTCCGTCTCTCTCTCCCCCACAATCCCAAACCGTTGACTCTCCTCGCGAGCTGGAGAAATCATCAGTTTCACTCTTGCAAAAGGGGGGCGGGACTAGACCTCGGAGCGTTTTAATAAAACAAACATACAGCAGCTCCCTCCTCACCCCTCCAGTCTCAACTAGATTGATAAATTACTCCACTACACTACTTTAATTATGTATATGGTATGCAGAATAAATCACTGAACATCAGTACCTCAATCAAGCACTTTTAAATGATAATTGCATCTTGGTGAATCAATCTTTCCATTCCTGACATTTTGCTAATTTTAGTTTTACGGTGGGGTAATAGCACATGCCATACGCAAACCTAATGACAATTCTTTATTGCACGAAATGAAGACAACACGGCGAGCTGCGGCTCCCTGCTCCTCTCCCGGCGCCTCCGCGGAGGACGCTAGAAGAGAACCTAGTCTCCCGCTGCGGCGCGCTCGCTCTCCGGGGACGCTGCGAGCCAGCCAGCAGGAAAGTCCTTCTAAAGTCGGAATCTTTCCTCTGACCAATAGGAGCGCGACCCTAATAGTTGCTCTTGTGACTTTTCCCCCTTTTGGACACGCGTTAGCCACTTCTCTCTTCCACCGGTCGGTGCGCTCCTCCGTTACTCACGCGTAAAAGCCACGGTCCAGGATGTCTGCAGCACTCGATTCCAGCGTGCTTTTCCTGCACGCCCAGAAGTCGCGGTTTTCACCCTAAGAGGTTGGAGCGCTAGAAAGCGAGCCGAAAGGTTTCTCTAATGTTAGTAATGTACGAAATAATAAAATAATTACCAGTATTTGACATCTCGACTCCATCACGGAGCCATGAACTTTCTAATCAGTTTGGAAATATTTACCGAGGCAGCAGCTTCCTCGGAGTTCCCCCCCTCCCCCCACTCTGTCTTTTCCACACCTTACTGGACTTCATCCAGGTCATTAACATGTAAACCAAGCCAACTTCCCAAATGCATTAGGCTACCCTAGCCGATAGCTGATGACTTCACTTATCCTGAAGAGTTTCAGCTGCACAGGAAGCAGAAATAGAGACTGATAAGGGAGGATACTTATGTTAAGGTTAAAGCATGATAAACACTTTTTCTTACATATATATATATATATATATATAGGCTTTAATATTTAGGAAAGGCTACTAGAGATTGGGCACCTCCCGCCCTAACCAACTATTAATATATACTATGCCCAATAAAGCCAAAGATAAAATACATAAACTAGTATAGAATCATTAAAAGACAAGATTGCATGCCAGTAGAATTACAGATGACATAAAATGTTTAAACCAAATTAATTTTTAAAAAAATATTGTGAAAGCAAGAAGGGAAAATTCATAGAACATAGAATGTATGAGAGTAGACAATAGGAGTATATTGAAATATCTAGCTAACTGAAGATATTTCCTCACTTTAGAAAATTCATTTTAGCACTAAGTTTAACCCAATGACTAGCTGTATTTCCTGTTAAGTTCAGCAATATGCCTGCAGACGAGTGTTTTAATGTAAGAGGACAGTATGGTTCAAAAAGCCTCCTGCTTCAATGTAGGAGGTATTTGATGTGAGTAGCTTCTCTCAGAAGAGTGGGCTCAACATTTAGGGAACAGTCCCAAGGCTTCACTTAAAAGGGGAAGATTTATTTTATAGGCAAGTACAACTAGATCTGAACAATCTTCAAGCTTCCAGCTCCTCATTGTGACTATCAGCACAACTAAGACCATTCCCTCCCTTTTATTATAGGAATGCATCACAAACTGTCACAAAGCAAAAACCATCTGAAATAGTAGTATTTCTTGCAGATTAGTATCTACAATGTATTTTGTTTGCCGGTTTTTCAAATGGTGAGTTTTCCATTACCATGAATTCATTTTAATAATATGGCAGAGAGCATCTATATCAGGTTTCCATTCAAAGTACAACTTCTCTGAAAATCCAAAAATTTAAAGGGCAAAGATATTTTGAATACTAAGATACGTCTATATATGGTGGTAAAAATAAAATTAATTTTCTTCAAGATTCACAAAGGTCCTGAAAAAGCAAAGCATTTGAAGGACCATCTAAGTTTATTGCCATAATGCCTAAAATTAATGCAGTGAATTACAACAGTCTATTTGACATGAGCAAACACATAGCCAAAACATGAATTTCAGCCCTGCTGTTTTTGATGAATTATAGAGAGTATTTCTGTTTACCACAGTACACTTCAGTTTTAGATTTTCTTTCAAAAAGAAATTATTTTATTTTACCTTTTCATATTTTAATTATTTAATAATAAACATTATAACAAACCCATAATTATCAATGATACTGCAAGCATTCAAAAGTAAGTATAACTCCACACTGGATAATTTGAAAATAATTTGGATCTGGAATGTATCACTGTTGGCCTTTTAAAATATAGGATTTTCCCCTCAGCAGATTTAGCTTCTTAATTATGTGTGACCTAAGTTAATATTACCATTAGTTTTCTTCCCATGAGCCTTTAGAGTTGAAGCAGAAGAGAAGAGATATGAAGACATATACAATAGAAAATCGCCTGAGATTTAAAATTATTCATGAGTAATCCACAAAGTAGTTAATCCAGAATGTGCTTTGTATTCTTTAAATACTTCTGGACTTTTGGTTTCTGTTTTTGTTTTTGTTTTTTCTTTAACTAAAATCAACCTGATCCTTGCCATCTAATGATACTTGGTCAGGATCAGACTATTTTCTCATGTAGGGAGGAGCTTGTACTAGGTGTCAGGAGACCTGGATTCTCTATCTAGTTCAAAATTTGTGCCTTACTAAGGGATTTGTCCTTTCTAGGCTTCAGTTCGCTTATGTGTTAAATGAGTTCTGTAACCTATTCCAGTTCTATGATTGGAAAACAGAAAATATTTCTACCCTTTAAACCAATTGGAAGGTAGGGTCTATCCAGTTAAATAATAGGTGACAATTCCTTTAACAGAAAATTATGTCTGGGATTGATGTACTAGCTTTTTTTTTTTTTTTTTTTTTTTTCTAATCACCAAACATTTCCTACATTAAATAGTAAATGCTTTATTGTGAATGTAAATATAGAGTCACTTGTTTTTCCCTCAAAATAATTATATTTAGCAATATATTTAATTAAAGTGTCATAGAAGTTACAGAGAGCATGCTCCTCGGGATTTTAACTACAGGGAAAGCTAATATTGCAATTTCTGTTCAGAGCTGCATACCATCTTACTCCATCCTCCTCTCTTCACTACTTCCCTACATTAAAGCAGCGGTCCACTAAAGCCCTGTGCACTGGGTCTGCCTGCTTTTAAGCCTGGCCCACGCTGGGTGTAGCTCTTGAAGTGAGCTTTAAAAATTATTTTAAAGTGAACTGGGGCGGTTGCCACAGCAACCCACCCTGAGATGAAGAAAGGCTATAGATTAATCTACCCCTTAAGATTATTCAACTGTATAATATTTGTTCCTCAGTCAGAATACTTTTAACACAAACATGGTAAGTGAACATCGTAGTTTAGAAAGATCTAAAAAGCAGTGAGACACAAATTCCAATAGCATTACATATTTTAATCTTTGTCTAATTATAGTATTGATGATACACAGGACTTCCCATGAAATAGATTAATTGTTTAAGATACAGTACTTGCAAAAGTAGGCCCTGAAAGGTGACATGATCTTTAAGCAAAATGATATGTCATTGCTTATAATATAAAGTGTATTGTGGTCATTTAACTCTTTATTATTGTTACACACGTCTATTCTGTAAATACCTAAGGCCAAGGAGTTTGGCAGTTCTACCTTTATGGTAACTCTGTGGTAAATGATAAAAACAAATGTGAGCACTCACCACATACACTTCTTTACTGCCACAGTCATTTGCCTTCCGTTCTTTACTTCATCTCTTCATAGAAGTTACTTCACAGTTTGCAACTCTTCTTTGGCACCTTCAAATGTGGAAGTGCAAAAAAGTATATAGTATTTTGTTAATGCTGATATGAAAGTACTTTCAAATAGATTTATTTCTAAAACTTCTAACCTGAAGTAACAATACTTCGATTTTAAACCAAAGTGTTTTGAATATAAGATTATTGAAATTGTCATTTATTGTGATAACAATCTTCAATATAAAGAGTGCCAAATATCTAAATTTCAAAAATTCACTAGGTGCAGCATTAACCCAAGCAGCATATACAGCATGTGGACTGTCTGTGATTGAGCATTTGCAATATACAAAGGATTTGTTATTTCAAGACAGGGTTTACACATATCTAAGGAGTCTATATTTACCTGTATTTCTGTACCTTCAGTTTTATATCTGATAGAGAATTACAGAAGAATGTCAAATCCATTATATCCGAAGCTAACACAATTTGTCAAATTGGGAAATGTTTGCAATGCAGTTGAGGTTGCTGAGAGGGCTTATTTTATGCATTGCCTAAAGGCCAATTTAAAATACTTTGGAATTAGTGATGTGTATTCAGTATGGTTTATAAATTCTATTACCAATAATACCTTATTCTTCCAAGTAGTGTTTAACTGTACTGAGCACAGACAAATGCTCCTGTGTTCTGATTTCTGTTTTAGCCTAGCTTTCCATGACTTTGTGCACACAAATGAACGTTTCCTTGGCTTCAGACTGAGGCTAGTCCCAGAAAGAAAACCAGCCTTGAGACACTTCAGACCAGGATGGTCAATATCTATTTTCCCATTTGTAATAGCAAGAGGACTTTGCATAGTGAAGAATCATTTATAAAGCCTCTATATTTGGGTTGACATCTCTGAGGTTTATTTTTAAGTTGCTTCAGAGTCAA